CCCCAAAACCCCAAAACCCCAAAACCCCATGATAATAGACTGATTAATAGCTTTTAAATGATAAATTTTTAACTAAATACATGATTCACAAAATATTTTATTAATGCATTAATATTTTCCTTCAAATACATTATTACAAAATAAAACTCATTTGTAATTAAAGCAATCTTTGCAAACAGTGTAATTGCAAGCCTAACCTGTACATTTGAAATGTGATTCAAATTTAACCTCTTCTTAGATATTGCATTTTTTGCATTTAGCTTATTAATCTTCTACTTCTTTATCATTCATTTCCAATAATTAATACAGATGCCCAGATGGACATTTCGTGACTATACTTATATTAATAGCATCTCTTGTATCATTTTACTCCTTTTCAATTTTCTCAACTATTTCATTTAAAGCTAAAACTTTTCCTAAAAATTATAATTTTTGCAATAGACCGGGCTAATCCAGTTCTTTTAGTTGCTTTTAACTTTCTTAAATCTCAATTTATTTTTATTCATCTTCCTTTTTGACATCTGATCCCAAAGCCAAAGCCAAATTTAAATTTTCTAGCAATTCTTATAAACCAATAGATTTACTTTCTTCTATATCCTTTTTATTCTACTTTGCATTTTATTAATTTTTTACTTATTTTTCATTATCATCTTCCTTTAAAGCTGAAATTTTCTTTTGCAATTCTGAATATCGACTCTAAAGTTACTCCTTTTCTTGTTAGATGTATATAATCTGTGCTTATTACACGTCATACTAGTCATTAATCCTTTTATTTTCGTCATTAATCCTTTTATTTTCTGTCTTAAGCTGCTAAATTTGATTTTTTAAATCTGCTTCTGATGAAGCTATCTCATTCATTGAATCAGATATAGTTTCAATCTCAGCACTCAAATATTTGCTTTCTTATTATAGTTTACTATTTTATTCTCTAAGCAAATTTTCTTAATCCTAGAGCTTTAGAGTTTTAGTTCTCAATTGCTACTCTTATTAAGTTATTTAGTTTATATGTTTAATCATTTAATTCTTCTCTTGTTCTACTTTCACTAACTTATCTTATAAGAAGTGAGTTTTTAAATTCAGTTTTTCAACAATCTCAAGGCAGGATTTAGCTTGATATTTTATTTTGATATCATTACATTGCTTGCTTGTACACTTGGCTTCTGTATTTTCACAAGTTTAAACATGCTTGAAATAATTTTCATAGTTCAAAAAATCCTTGCAATGTGGATAATTAACACATTAAAATTCATACTTGCTCAATATGTCATATAATATCCTCTTGAGTTTGGTAAAAGTTGGCATTTCGCATCGTTTGGGACATTAATTATTTGCCTTTTCTATACATTTTTTGCAATACACAGTGTCACAAGCTTAGCATTGTATCGAATCCCAAACAACATTTAGGCATATTATACAGACAAAATTATCGTTTATTTTATCACCAGAAAATTTAGGTCAGTAGAATTCCGGATTTATATACTCAAATTGCAAAACACTTAATCTTTCCATTTTTCTTAATGAGAAACCTTAATATTATTTCTATTTTTTAAAACTAAAAAATTGGTCAAAAATTCATTTTCTGGGGTTTTGGGGTTTTGGGGTTTTGGGGTTTTGGGG